CTGTATATTGGAATTGTTGATTTCATTGTTAACGGCGATATACTTCAAGTATGTACAAACCGTGGAATATCTTCCAGCCTTCCAGGATTTATAATTCACCTATTCTTCTATTGAAAATGTTAGTTGAAATTTCGAAATTCAGTAAAGAGTCCACTGCTATTTTACCTACATCTAACAATCACTACTATAAAAAATTGCGAGTTATTCCTGTCTTAGATATATGATACAATAAGAGTTTGATAAATCTTGAAAGAAAATGGTATCTTATTCATTAGTTACAAAATAGATAAATATACGGGTTCGCTCAGATTCAACTTGTACATTTTTGACAATCGATAGTTGCGTTGAAATCATTGTATAGGTGTTTTTTCGTGGAGAAACTGGTTATACAGGGGGTGTTAAAGTTCGCTTAAATTTTCAGTTTCGAGTTCATATCTCTGTTGAAATAATATGCTCAATATTACTATCGTTATTGAAGATATCCAATATTGATAGATTCAAAAACTATTAGGCATGGTGGAACATTTTTTCCAATAACACAAGATACATTGAGAATAATGGAGAAGAAAAAGTATGGATGAAAAAATAAGGAACATTATCTATTAGCTTCAATTTACCAGTGGCTCCTCAATAAATATTTCGGAAGGGTTCGACAACATCAGATGACTCAAGAAGAATAAAACCCAGTATAGCTGCGACGCTATAATGAATGAACATTCATACTGCAGTGACTTGTTCACCGAATTTCGAATCGACAGCTTTTGTTCTGACAGAAAAAAAAATTCAGAACCTTAAATTCGAGGAATTTCAACAACCCGTATAATGGATACTAGTGTCTTGAAGTTGAACCTGAGACACCTTGTGAATGAGTTTGTAACTTTTGATTTGAATGAATTTCCATGATTATCTATATACATACATTTGGACTTTCGAGGCATGTATCAGCCAGCATGTTATATTTTTTTAGAAACACAGCAATATGCACCGCTATCTTATGCACCCACCTATTATCCATAACCATACCATGGTTATTTATACCTTCAAGCTAATTTTTTCCATCAAAACTAACAATTCTAGTTACAGCATAAGCGAATTCAATAAACACATGATTGTGTTCTCAAACCTGTGGCATTTTTTCAACAGGTTGAAGAATCCATCGGAATAGACAAAATCACTAAGAATTTGTTATTGAGAAAGTTGCAAAATAACGAAGATAGAATTGGCATTACGGTCCTATATAGTATATTCATCATTTCGAGTTGTACGGGAACTTCCACATGTCCCCTTCGTTGAATAATTCCTCAACGTGAATTTTTTCGTGTACAAACGAAATGATGCTACTGCACGTTGGCGTCACTCATCATGAACTGAAAGCATGTGAACAAGTTCAGTATTTTCGTAAACGTGCTACATTCTTTGGAATTCTACTATGGACGGTAGTAGAGGGACAGGATCGGCCGGGACCGTAATTGATTTATTTTCAAATGTACGAAATGTTTAATATCTCCGTTATTATGGAACTCCCATTGAGGCGCTATATATGTTTCTATGAAATCGATACCCTCCTGAAAAAATGCTTCACCTTCGAGACACCCTTTATAATTTGAGGTATTCGGTATTTTTTGTAGCAACTGATTAACACGAAAGGGTAATTCTGAAGTATCCGTTCGCTATTGAACAGAGAATGGAGAAAGTAATATTATCCATACACGATATCTGAATGCCACTATCTTTGATAAAATTCCTGGGAGAATTGTAGTGAAAAATTGAGATATTTCAAAATCGTCCTAACGATTTTTTTTCAATTGGTAATCATACCCGCGGAATGTTTCAAACTCACAAGAATTCATTTTCAGTCTTCGCTTTTGTAGATCTCTGACACTAGAGTCTGAAGATGAACATATACGGGTTGAGTCAGAACAAGACCGACAAACTTCGTATACGGATTCCTCGCCTAATTTTGAAGTGAAAGGTTCATATCTACGTATGTGCTAAAATGCATCTCCTCTGAGATACAATGTGTCTGAAGTACGAAAAAATAGCAGAGTTTATATAAATTTCTTAGAAACCCCTAGAGGAAAAAAATTTAAACTTGGTATACTATAACAGATTAATCAGTGAAGTTACATGAAGTTTCCATTTTTGAATTTTGATCACCAGTGGCGTAGTTAAGATCCTATAGACGCCACATTTTCCTTCATATTTCTTTTTTGAGAGATGACATGTCAAACAAGTGTATGACATCAGTTATAGTAGTTCACATGCCTTAATGGAGAGGTATTTGTGAAAATGTAAAGAAATGTCTTGAGATAACATTGCTACATGTTGAAGAAATAAAATTGTAATGCACAATTTTGTTCACATATTCAACTATTAGTATTATTAAATGAATATTAAATGTTTACATTGAGATATGATGTGTGGGAAAAAAAAAGTTAGTTTGACGTCTGACTCACCCGTCTACTATGTTTCCAATGTTCCTAACATTCAAGAATGTTCAGGAAATTGGAATATTTTCTGATATCTTGTGGTCTCAACTCAATATTACCTCAAGATATATTCTTAGACTTTCGCAAATATCCCAGAAACCGCAACTTCTATCAGTCAAATATATCAAGAATCTTACAATAATACTAGAGGCAAGTCAAATTGTTCAGAGCAAGATCTAATGTTACTTCACATAGGAATATAAAATTGCTTGTGAAAATGAAAATCTGAAAAATGTCAAATGAGCACCACTCCAGAGCACTATGAAGTTCTACACACGGTCGAAATAAACCTTCTTTTTTTTTCGTACTTTCCACACCCTGTATCTCAGAGAAGATGCATTTTAGGAGATACGTTGATAAGAACTTTTTACTTCAAAATGAAGTAAGGAATCCGTATACGAAGTTTGTCGGTCTTATTCTGACTCACCCTGTACATGAGTTCATGTCCTCTATAATTCCCTGAAGTTGTGGGGATGGTTCGACTTTTCTTCAGTGAATTCCGGCAATAAAATTGAAACCTCACCGCGCTGGCTTAGTAAAACTGAAACTGTCACCTTTGAGCAGCGTTGCCAACCTATGGATTCACGATTATGGTTCCAACAGCTTGAAATTATGGTACAGTTTCTGGAATTATGGTACGCGCAAGCGCGCAGTCATGAATTGGCTATGTTTTTCGACATTGAAAACACTTTAGAAAATTGACAGATTCTAGATTCAAGACAAAATTTTGAATTCTCTTTTCCTAAACGAACCCTGCAAAACGAATGAAAAACAACAAAGATAACCTAACAGAAGCATTCCAGTGTCTTTTTTTTTTCTATTATCATTGTCAAGTTTGATTAGAGCTATTGTGGTTGTAACATCACATATGAGATCACAGGTGAATCACACGTAACATACGTCATTACAGATTCGTGAAGTGTATGTTTTGTGAAAAGCTTTTTAAATCAACTGTGAAATCAGTAAAGTTGACAAATTAATGTCATGTATCACCAAAAACAAGAACAATACTTGGCGAAAATTAACTAGCACATATTTATGCTCACTGCTCTTCATGACAAAATTATGGTACACTTCTTCTCATAAAAATCGTAACGACTTGCGTCTAGATTTCCTCGAAATATCTGCCTATGCCCAAGAACTATTATATCTATCTTTATTACACAGCACACCCGCAACGGTAGGTAGTTTCCTATACCTGAATCCTCTTATTATCCTTCTTCGTGGTATAGTGTGAAAAAACAGGTAGAATGAGTAGTGAAATTTTATTCCATAATTTGGTTCAATATCATTTATATTAATATTTGGAAGTATGGGAGCTTGTGACATAAAAGTTCATAGACATGAAGTATCTAAAGAAAGTCAATACTGTCAGAGTTTTCGATTCTGGATATTAATCTTTGGAAATGTCGGTAGTTAAAACATTGATTATCGTTATTGAAACTATTTTGTCAAATTGAATTGAGAAATTTATCAATATGATTTCATTCCCAACAAAATCTGCACGGTGTTACATACAACATTATGACAAAATTCAAGCATCTATTTCTCGTAAGCAAATTGAAAGAAGTTCCGTAGTTTCTCGAGATACAGGGTGTTGCAAGTTTAAAAGATATTGTTTTTCTCAGGTTCGTTCGCAATATCAACATATACTTCGGATGTCGTTCAATGGGAATCATTTATTCAGATCAGTGGCTGGTATCAATATGAAAAAAGAATACCTTGACACTGTTTCTTGGAAAGTTACAGTTCTCTTTTAAATTGTGCAAATATCCAGACATTTTCTTGCAGCTCGTTTCCTAGGTGAAGATAACAATTTTCTTCCAAAGTGAGTTGAGCAAATAATTCAAGGGCTACAAGAGTTGAATCTTCCATTGAAAACAGGCATTCAACTTGTAAAAATAGTGGAGGAACATATTCTTCGATTCTGATACTCATCCGGTGCTTATGATACCTTTAGATAGATGAAACAAATTTTAATCATTTTGTAATTTCAATAGGACTTATCCAATATCAAGACAATCGAAGGAATGTATTTTAAGAGATGAATGATATCGAATTCATATTTTTTCTAGTCTTCAATATCCTGAATTTCAACTACGGTTCTCTGTGAAAAAAACTTCGAGATCATCCATGTCCTGTAACGTTGAGAAAATTTTGCCTTTGCCATTTCCATCATAACCAATATTGAAAAGGATTGGTAATCTTGAAACCATCAATACCATAGTTTTGCTCAAATTCTTGGTAATGCATAAAATGCTAATGAGGTTTACCCTTGGGTAGATCGACATAGTGATTGAACGATGAATAGTACATGGGGTTAAACAAAATATACCAACATAGCTCAAGAGTCGTTACGATTTCTTTGAGAAGAAGTGTACATGGTACACAAGGCCAAATGATGGTACGGATTCCATAATTATGGTACGGTTGGCAACGCTGCCTTTGAGAGAGGGCATGGACATGTTGGAAGAGTTTGCATTGGCGAATTGATGCATGTTTTTGTCGTAGCTTCACCACAACCAACCACCTCACCGAGGCCGACCACCACGGAAACACCCACCAGACTGAAGGACGTGTACGGGAACGGGGACCTGAACAATTCCGTTTATGGGAACCCCTCGTCACTCACAATACATCTAGCTGACAAAGGTACCTCAATTGTAGATGTTTTAATCGAGAGGACTTTCCTTACATGGGGGTGTCCCATAAGTATACGCGGTCGAAACTTGAATGAGCGTTATCTGCATGTGGAAATTCATACCAGGAGTTTATTTGGAAACTTCCCATCGTAAATATCTCGTTGAGTAGACGGTTCTCGGAAAATCGCCAAGGCAGTTAAACAATAACTATGAGGGGAACATATTCTCATGTGGAAATCACCTTGCTCTTTTCATCCCCTTTGCCTCCACTACCTCGCCATCAAAAATGTCGAATGGTATTGTAGGTTGTGTGGCCCCTCATTGAAGAGACTTTTCAATTCTCTAAACACCTGTGTTTTTATTCTTGAAATCGAAAGATGAGTTTGCGAAATATCGAAGGAAACGTTCGAAAATTTGATCCCAGAAAAGTAGTTCAGAAAATCGGCGAGATACGTGAACAGTGACTGTTAAATGGGTAGTTTAACGTCACAAGTTATTTAGCTCGAATCTAAACTATTGGTTTTTTTTTCGATGAAATCAACAGTTTAGATACGAGCGTATATCGTACGTTTCCTATGACCCACGACCCAAGACCCCAACAAACTTGGGGGTGGGCATTGAGTACAAGGTTGATGCAACGAGCCTGACAGTGATTCTCTTGACAACTTTCTAGAGATGATATGTTCAAACGTTTCCTTCGATATTTCGCAAACTCATCTTTTGATTTCGAATATAAAAACACAGGCGTTTAGAGATTGATTGAAGAGTCTTCTCAATGAGGTTCCACAAAACCTACAATGCTATTTGAAAACAAGCAAAGTGATTTTTGCACAATTATTCTTTACCTGTCTCCGCGATTTTCTGAGAACCGAACAAGATATTGCGGTTGAGAAGTTTTTAAATTAACACCCGGTACCTACCTACCTATACCTACGGTTGAGCAGGATATCAGCCCAGAAGGTGAACATCAGAATAGGGTTTTTGGGAGAGCAGGGACGAATAGCCCTATCAATCATGAGTATCAAACTATTCAGCAGGCAGTTGATAAAAAAAAAATATTAATATCTACTATCGGAAGTACAAAAATTCTTATACAGGTGAGAAACACTTTTTCGATATCGCTTAGCAAGAAAATCGATATAACATGGAAAAACGTCAGTCTGATGTTATAGTATTATTAACACTCCCAATTCTGATTTTGACCTATATTTGTGGGACACCTCCTTTTTAATTTGAAAACTCCCATCCAGGCGATGCTCACTGTTATGGGAGCTGCAACTACCTAAATGTGGGCCCTGAGGCTTGAAAAATCATACGTGATATTGGGAACTATTGGGGAAACATGATTTCCAAAGTCCAAGAAACCACTAACGTATTTAGGAAAGTCTAAAGGCCTCATTGGTAACTAATTGCATTTATTCACAATTTCCAAATTTGCACGTTATCACCCAGGAATGTTTGATTGTTCATAATTTGATTTTGTTGCTGAATCAGAATAGTAATGAATGAATTTCGATTTGGTATTCTGTTCCCCAAACGTAGAAGGTGTTTACTAATTTATAACGATTTTGAAAATTTATCTGATTACGGGTATCACTATGTTTCATACGCACCTGTATAAAAATTTCGTAATAACTTTTTTCTGGCGTATTGGGCATGAAATGTTCAGTCTTCTTTTGAGAAATTTCACCAACAAGCGTTTCCCATTGATGAAAACCATCTTCAGGAGCCCACATTCAGAAGGATGAAGCTCTAAGAAGTGAGTACCTGGATGAGAATACGTATATTTGGATGACCTTCGAAGAACGGTGGTTTTGCAGAAATTGAGCAATAGCCAATTGGTAACTTTGAATTCAATCAGTATTATTTCACCAGAACTTGACCAAAAAGTAAATATGTTGAACAAACCCTTGAAAAACGCATTGTATAAGGTGTTGTAGGGTGCAGATATGTTTTCTAAAAACTAATAGGTTTAGAAATCAAAACTTTCATTCTGTGACCATCCGTTCTTCTTAAGTCGATAGGCTTTATTTATTCGGCTTCATTTATTTCATTTCGTTTCGCACTCGCTTTTTCAATGATTTTGTGTCATGACCTCCTATTTCGCTTACCCAAAAAGTTTATTATAATACTTCCATGAAGTGGAAGAAATTCACAAATAGTTGATTATCCCAAAACCGGAATGCATTCATAGGATATAAGTATGATATATTGTACCATGAAAAAGTTCGAAATGCAATGTAGCATCGAAGAAAAAATAATATACAGTGTGTTTTATCCATATGAAATTAGTTTGACTTCATAAAATGCATGTCTAGTAGAATTCTAATTCTGTAGTATAAATATGGCTCCTCAAATGATATTTTGTGAAAGAATTGAAGATGATAATGATGAAAATGGTATTGTGAACTTTTTGAACAGAATCCATGAAGCTTCAAATTTGTTTCTATATTCACCCATATAGGTTCATTATCCTTCGGAAATCCTTGCACTATTTCTCTTGAATTCTGTATGGGAGCATAGCTTCATTAGATTTACTTTTTGTGTTCCCAAGTGTAATAAAGCAAATTCGGTTAGTTTAAATTTGATCATGTAGTTTTTTATCGTAGCACAAAAAAGATGAGGGAGAGCGAGAGAGGAGAGACAGCTAAGTTAGGAAAACATTAATTCACAACTCTTCAAATAATTCTCATTCCATTTCCAGTTGAAAGTTCGTACACGTCTCGAATTGTATTGTGGTAAAAAGCGCAATATTATTAAAATATTCCGCATTTTTCGGAAGCCGTAATTCAAGTTGACCATTGAGCCCGCTCTTTCTGAAGCACAACCAAATAAAAGACTTGGAAGTCGACTCAACTTTTGAAATTTTTAATGAAAACTTCCACTCAATGTTAATTGCACGATGCTGCTTTTATATAGGGTCACTCGCTTGCGTCACTGGAGTAGGTATATCTTCAATTTCAATGGCTAATTTTCGAACGAGGCGGGATTTCTAAAACTCCATGAGGAAATCATATTTTTTCCCTAATTATTCAATTTCTATCGTATGAACCAAGTTTTCAATGCCCCGAAATAACTGAATTTCAATAGCTAACTTGACTACCTGAACTTGTTATGACTAGTCCCACTCATTACCATAAGGAGATACATATACATACATACGTCTTCAATATGATGTCGGTATGGTAAAATCAATGATGAAGATGAGGTTACCAAAAATCTGTAAGTTTCTACCCTCTCATCGCGATAATTGTGTATATTTTAATCATCAATACTAGTTTTATTCCGATTCAAACATACTCGAAGAACTTGATCTCATAATTCATAGGATGAATAGACTTGCCCTAAATGCCAGCAAGAGCAAGACATTGCTGTTTCGGCTTAATATGCCTCATCAGCTCTACTGTACTACTATAGTGAACTTATGGTAGTACTGTTTCGCTCTTCTGTCATTTGCAGCATCTCCAGTTATGTGAAAGGAGTGTCACCTGTCACCAGATAGTGGTTTACTAGTGTAGTACGACTTTCCAGCGTGTTGACATATTGAAGTTCGAAATTCGGTACTCTTGTTGAGTCACTTTTCTGAAATTTCAAATGATTAATCGTCGAAGTAGATTTTGTTTCACTTGTATTCAGACACACGCTTACTGGATAATTTTCATCCTAAAATTTGTACTTCCAATCAAGAATTCTGAAGATGTATATGATGCTTATCAACAAAATGTCAGAGTTGAAATATGAAGGAATATCAATAGGAATTGAGTGGGGATGATAATTATTATGGTTGAGTATGTTTGGCATAAAATGAATACAGTATTTTTTCTGGAATCTTTATGCAGTTATCGACTGAAACACCTTGTATATATAGAGGTATATGCAAATACTTCCATTTCATTCATGAGTAGTAATGGTTCTTACATCTCAATATTCGGAGTTTTCTATTTTTCTTAGTTATAGTTCAGTTAGTTATATCTTTCTGGGGTTATTTAAGATAATCTTCACTGGAAGAACATTATACGTGTGAACTGTTCGATGTACGGATGTTCCCAAACTATCAATGCCTTTTTGTTGCAGGTTCAAGATACCAATCAAATTTGAATGAAATCGACAAGTCCGAGCAGAAATCAAGTTCCGACTCCGACACCAAAGGGCATATATATGAAAATATTCCCCAACTCTCGCGGGGATCGCTCACGAGTGAGTATTCTTTTGATGGTTCCATGAAATATGCATTTATTCAAACTCAATTGCGATACAAGATTTTTTTAGTCAAACTGTAGAGTTGGCTGGAGAAATCATCTCAGGAAAGCATGGTCAGCATTCGGATCTTAAGGGGATTCACCATATTCATATTCGGTAGTGAAGGGATGTGTGGCATTTCTTGAACCCTTGTGAATATTTTTGCATAAATAAAAAACTAGAATCAATCAATTGTGGTGTCTCAGGGTAGTGTCTTTGGGTTACTCCGTTTCGTTGCGCAAATTGATTATATAAGTTGATGTGATTATAGTAGCGTAGCTACACTGATAATCCTTCGCCTTCACTCAATGTTGAAGTTTACGTAAAACAGATCAACCAATTTGTAGTTTATTTTCAATGAATTCAAATTACTACGTAAAATAGTACCAACGATAATATAATAATTTTCTCAATTCAACAAAGAAAGAGCGTATTTGAATGATATAACAATTTACTTGTCATAATTTCAGTTATTCAAATTCCTTTCTTCGGGCTTAAAGAGTAATCTCAGATATACTAGGAACATGAAAAAAATGTAGACATAAAGGGAAATATATTGAGAAATAGCATTCTCTATCTGATATGAATATTAATTATCTATCGGTATATTCAACATCAGAAAACAATTCCTTTCCTGTCTATATATGCCACGAGGAACATTGAATCACATCTATGGAACACACACAATAAGAATTTGGAAATAAAATCTCCTAAAATTGAGAATTTGCATTCTCTTTCGAAAAAAATATTCTAAAAAAATATGTATGAATATAATATCATTCGGAATATTCAACAGGAATCAACTACCTACTTTCCTAGTTATTTTCCACGACGAACAGAGAAAGAATCACATTTGTTAACGACATCATCAAAATTTGAATTTCGGGCCAGAAAATGTTTGATGGATAGAAAAAACTGAAGATGGTCAATTCGTTACGCTTCGTGACGTTTTAGCGACGTTTTTAAACGTTTTTTGTCAAACATAGGCAAGTCAAAATTTTTTTGTTAAGATATAGATTCGAAAAGCCGAATAATTTTCGTGTACCAGATGGATGCTTAGCGGGAAAGCACTTTATTTGCCAGAATAACTTTTTTGGACGGCGTTTCATTCACACCGTTAACATGTGAACTGAGAGGTCATGTGTATCTGACGTTGCCAACGGGTCGAGGAAATGAAATTTTCTCAATTTCCTATTAGCCGTATCAGGCCTGTTCACTGTCTGTGTTCCCATCGATATTTATGTCAACACTTCATTACTACTGGTTTCTTGGGATAGACCAGGTTACACGGGAATGAATCTGGAATGTATATATATATCGAAGACTGGAACCTTTGGCACGATAATACACTACCACTACACTGTTTCACCACTAACCAAACCGATTTTTTAAACATCTCGACACGTGTTTTGCTAACTATGTTAGCATATTCTATTCTATGTTGCTACTTATATACCAGGTATATGTCCACCCAACCGTGAAAAAAACTAACTGTCGAGTTAATGTTTGTCATGGTTGAGTTCACATGTTCACCTTGATATCATATCACTAAACTATACAGAAGGTTATATGGAATATGTCCATTATCTTCATTCATCACTCTATTACTATTCTCAAATATCTCAGAGAAAAGAATCCCAATCCCGTTCAATCCCAAGTACACGAAGGAACTTGATAAGGTTTTCAAAGACTTGGGTTTTGAAAGCATCTATCAGTCTGGGTCAAAATAAACAGATAATGTGGACATACTTGAAAAGTCCGGAATATACGAAATCATTTGTGATGCTTGTGATGATATGTAGGCCAAACCAGGCGACCCATAAGAACAAGGTTCAAAGGACACCTAACCCATTCAAAATATGATCGGTTAGATAAATCGTGTGTAGCCTAGATATATAAAAGGATACTAATTGAATGATGATGAAGATAATGGACCTATTCCATTATAGCTCCCTATATAGTTCGATGACAAACATTAACTTGGCGGTTAGTTTCTTTCACGGTTGGGTGGACATATACCCAGTATAAAAGTAACACAATAGGAAAGAATATTTAGTCTTAATCTTCCCTGAAGATGCTAACATAGTTAGCGAAACACGTGTCGAGGCGTAATAACAATCGATTTGGTGAGTGGTAAAACAGTGTAGTGGAATGTCTATGTAACATACGAAACCGTCCATGATACGAAATTGGAACAGATATTGAATTAACTTCAGAACTATCTTTCAAAATTTGAACAATGCTTCAATTTGTCGAATCATCTAGGACAGTTTTCATAATGTCCTTGGAAACTATTATTGTTATCAAAAAAAATTCTGCAGTCGTCTGGATTTGGACCCACGACCGGCAAGCCACCGCCATTAGAAAACTAACGCTTCTAACACGCTGCTACGTGGCCCCCAAGGAGGACAGTCTTTTCAATATATTATTGATTAGCTGTCATAAATATACTTGGGGAGAATCAACTATAATTGTTGAGTGTGATTGTCAAATTCTGAACTATGCAGTTATTATCTATCATTTTGTGGAAATGAGTAGGTCTCTGGTGTTATATAATTTCACTTCAAGGAACTTTTTTATTCATGGTTCTTTTGAAATAGTCTGTCAATCCTCCCTAGGTACGGACGATATTCTTCGATCATAATAGGGATTCCTTTTCGTGCGGCACAGGAGATGATGAAAATCAAATAACCATTCCCATTTTTCTGTGACCTAAATGACGCTATACGAAGCCGAACCAATCGCCTATGGACACTTCACTTCTTTCTGGTCTGCCGTGTCGTGATTATCACGTCATAATAACAACGTCACAGTAACGTTACTGACTAAATTTCATCAACCGGCTTGATCTATTGCTCCTGGGCTTCACTTTTATCTTTACACTGTAATACGATTCTTCAGAGAATCAATCCTTATATACCTAGCGGTTATAGTTCCACTTATTCTCAATATGACAAAAAATCGACTTGTGTTTCAAGAGGTGTACTAAGTTTCTAGTTACCACAGGATGCATGTCAATAATGATTATCCTGAAGTTCCAGAAATGTTTTTCAACAGTATTTTTTGTTTCAGATTGCTTCGGTTCCCTGATATGGTCAGTTCTTATTCAACTGACAGTTTTCCGAGCAATGCGGTGAATGTGTCAAATAGCTGTTGTAAAAAGTGTTTTTATTTATTAGAAAAGTGAGTTTTCTTTCAATGTTCTCCCAGGACGCTTCAAATGAGGAAATGATGCGAGTAGACATGTTAATTAATAATCAATCTATTTTGAATAAAGACTGAAAAATGGGTAGGAAATATATAGTATCTACGTAATGTGACTGGCATAATATTATGTAATGCACTTTTATCTATTGTTGAACCATTCCTGTGAAAATATTGTTTTGTGAGTAAGCTGCCTTTATGTTAGTGTATGATGACTATGATACCAAATGAGGCTCTTTTATATAGATTTCTTTGATGTAATATATATTCACCATGATTTATGTACATTGAGAATATTGAGATACTATAGATATTACTAGGAATTTACAGATAATCAAATAGAGCGAACACTTCGAAATTTTCGATATTGCATAAGAAATTGGATATAGTACATAATTATCGAGCAAATTGTGTTGTAAACAGATCGAAGCTCAAACGTTCAAGTAAAATACACATATACAGAGTGCAACCTAATATTCAGCTACAAATATTTTTTTGTTTCAACTTGATGGTTTGAATCCAATACTCTTTTTGTGAAGGAGTGTTTTCTCTCGAGTATACAGGCTGTTTGAGGAATCATGCATCTTCCTAGCATGCTTGCTCTATGGTGCCAAAGTCAGTTGCCAAATTCTTGTTGAATCGCCACTCTGTATATAGGTATATCGATTAGATGCTTCGATCTGAAGGATGTCATGAAAAACCATCACTGATTTATTGCATCGCGAAATGAGGGAGGGGAGTATGAATTTATAATATTTATTACATGTAGCTTTTCTAGCAGTGGAACAGTGTTTATATATGTAAATTGCGAGAAGATCATTGAACTTTGTCATGATAGGACTGGTTTAGTGTGGAAGAGGTATGCCGATGCCGTGACATTTCAAGCTCGATTTCCCATCTGAATCTCCATAAAAAAAAGGTTCAACGTGGTAACTTTTGGCACACCAAGGTCACGTACCAGGCGATTGCGGCTTAGTAAAGTTGGTTCACGAGTATGCGCAGTGCAATTATCGTACCCCAGCAAACAATTTCGGTCGTTATTACGTCGGCCCAAAACCTGCTTGCCAAAAGTTTCTAATTCTCCGATAAAGTAGACGAGTTTCTGTGACTCACCTGAGTTTGTTATGTATTTCTTAGTGAAATATGATGATTTCATCAGGCGGTAGGTTTATTCTCTATCAGCGAGCAAATATCGGATACCTATAAGTATACAACGGAATGTTGAAGAACGAAAAATAATATAATAGGTGAACTGACGTTTACTATTTCTCCATCACTGTCGAAAGGATCACTTCATTCATAGGTAGCACTTGAAGATAATGGAAATATACCTACCCATTTTGTTATAAATAACAGTGTTGAAAGTGGGGAGACTTAGTTTGTTAACATCCAACAATTAGGTATACCCAATTCACCTACTATCAACGTCAGAAAACTATCATCAATCATAGAGTTCGCAGAAATAATACTTCATTATTTACAAGCGTATCATGTATTATATAGGTACTAATTAATTAAAAGTGTTTCCCAATATTGCGTTTCACATTTTTTCATCATAAAGTATAGATATCTTTTCATCGAAATTACACAGGAGAGGGCTGATGTGTAGGTAATATCATATGATGAAGTCAGGTAAAGCGCGGATACAAAGAGCCGATGTTTAGACGACGTAGTGAAATGGCATCATGCTTTTATACTACTGGTCCAGTGCTGGCTGGATTATGAATAAACGATTAGAATATAGCACACAATGGGCTGACGTTCGCCCGTTGCATCTCAGAAGTTCCCAGCGCTCTGCCGACTGATCATGCATTGGGCCAGAAGGCGGCCAGAGATTCAATGTTTGCTGGGACTGTGCCGGTCTTGAATAATCTCAAACATACCATATCATATCATCGTCAAAAAAACAGCAGACATGCATAGAAATTGCAAAAGATCGATGATAAAACAGCAATGAACGTCCATATAAAGATGCAGTGCTAACGTTGACACATACTGCGCAAATCAACCAATTTTGATTCTCCCTAAATAAAACCAACCATCGGCCCAGCATTCAGTACATGTACTTTTCCGGCATCGAGGTGTCCAGGCTGCCGCCAGCCGGCCGCAATACACGTTACCGGCGATTAAATTATCAACTTAGGGGTACTACAGCGGCAACAAATTTCAATGCACCATTGATGGGAGCGCTCAGCCACCAAAGTATATGCGTCTGCAAATCCGTAGTAAGGAAAATGAGTTTTTCGAGCACTTTTCAAGTATCTGACCGCGAACTACTATGCACTATAAATGCGAAAGTGCGTTTTCACCGTCATTTATAAAGTACTGCTGGAGCACTTATTTCATATATCTCATATTTCAATAGTCGGCCGTCATTTCTCGATAGTAGATCGGTGTTATCTGGGTCACATATTGTCTTTGCATTTGTTGTTTATATATAGGTCAGTGACTCAGCCCAGTTTCTCAACTCCCTTCCCCCACTTAGTCCCGTGCCATATAGCCTCGTCACTCAACCCCACCCAAATCCCAAATCATCAGAAACCACTGACATAACCAACAAAAATATCAGACAAGCCACGTGTAACGTCAGACGGAACCACACATACGCAAACCAAAAATAAAGTATGTGTTTCTCTATGTAACCACACTTTCTTAATCTTTTGATTACCTAGTATTTGCATTGTACTTAATGAGTGATGAATAAAAATAATATCTTTTTTTGTGACGAGAAAACAGTTTGACCTTTCATCTCTGTTGACAGGTTACAAAATGTCACTTTCCAAAAAATTACTTCTTCCCTAAGGGAAAAAAGTGGGTACTTTTTTCCCGGATATACAAGGTGTTTTTGAAATAAGTACATATAATCAGGAAAATCGATATGATACAGAGTCTAACGAATATTCCCACGATATCAGATTTTTCCTGGTTCTTCTAATAAACAAAAAATTTCATCCCTAAAATTGAACAGAAAACGAGAAAAAATCAAGTACGCCAATTTAAAATAATTTAAATGAATGAAGTCCGTGTGATTGTGTCTTCCGCATAAAATTTGAACAGAGGTGACGTCCGAATTGCTACAGTGTGGAACTTTGACCTCAAATTTTATTTGGATCCCTATGTTTTTTATTGGCACCACTCGATAGTATACGTCGAGCTTACTCAAGGCTTGACAGATGTTTGGTTACTTTAGAACGTTTCCATAGCAACACAGATGCCTGTAAAAAGATGCCTGCAACGCCTACCACTTAAAAGCTTCAAATTTCACATCGATAATGCTCTGATTTTAATATGATGTAATATCTTCTCAATATTGAACCGTCGTTTTTCCTGTCACCAAAAAAGTAATGTTTCAGATTTTTTCCTTGTATAAATAAATATTTCCGATTCGTGAGGGCATGAAGAAAAATGAAGGAGGTATGTGTGGTAGGGGACTAAGAAACAAGTCTGAATAGTGGAACTGAAAATAGGGAGTTGAGATCTGTCCAATCAGAAGCGTTGAACTGATTCTCGGCAGTCAGCACGTGACCTTGAAGTGATCCAAAAACTGCCACGTTGAACCTCAGATTTCCTTATGGAGATTTACATGCGGCATCGGCATACCTCTTCTACTGTTTGGTGATGACCCTGAGGCAAAAATGAATAGATATCGACATTTACTAGACAGTTGAGTTGATTTTGAATTAAACAATCAGAATATTTTGATATCACCATATAATTACTGATGGTAATTTTGTGTGATTTGATATTCGCTTTCAATCTATCGCCTACTAGGCTAACAAATACGAACTCAAAAATTACAAAAGCGCATATTAGGCATTATATTACTGATGAAAAAATTATGCATAAATGCTTTCGTCATTTTTGGGGACTTATATTCGTTATCTTTGTATAGGTTATAGAAAATGGACGAAATTCAAAATATTCAAAACATGATATTTCGAAAATAAGTGAACCGTTATAGCATAATGAATTGTCGCCACTCAGCGTGAAACATATTGTATGTGTGATATGCACAAGGTACAAAGTTATCGTCCTCTTTTCTGAGGGCACTCAGAATTTCGATTAGAATAGGTTGATTCAGAAGGTCTCTTACAGAAGATAATTGTAATTTCCACCAATGGGATTGTAGCGTGGTATAAGAAGGGCACATTTCAAGAATTTATCGGCTATTTATTGAAGAGTCAACTAAACGAATTGAAAAAAAATTACATTGGCCCCTTCTTGTACCAATTACAGAATGAAGTACATTACTAAGTTAAACACCTTATGTAATACAGATGTGGAAACAATAACTACAAATGCTAGAGTGGTTCAGCATAATTCCAGTTTACCAAGAATATACAGGGTATAACTATAACAATCCTCAATTAGAATGGTACCATGACTTTTATTAATTTTTACTGATTATAACGACATTACTGTTGTAACTTACTGATATCAGGAATATTAAATGTCGAAAATGAAGACCTACCTATGTCTTGTGTTTACCATTGAAGAAAATATGTCTCGTCAATGCCGCCGAAATTACATATGTAAACAGTGTAATGAAATGTACATAATAAATGATCATGATTATGATACTTTGTTTTAATTGAAGTCCAAAATTAACCATTTCCAAACATTCTCCATATTGGATCTTCCCACATACTAATACTCCTTCTCATTTCTGCTCTGCAGATACATGGATTCAGATTCCTGCCTGCTCGAATTTGGATTTTGCATTTTCGAGAGACGAATCTATTTCTCTTCTCGTTTCTGCTCTCCTGACACCTACATGAAATTAGGATTTTCGCTAGCTCGGAATTGGATTTTGCATTTTCGATGAACGATTCAATACCTCTCCTCAGTTCTGATCTCCTGATACATAAAATTATATTTTTATCTGCTCTAAATCGAATTTTGTATATTCGATAGAAGATTCGATACTTTTCAT